TAAGCGTCAAGTGCGCTTCTACAGAGAGCGTTAAAGAACAAGGCGCCACATACTTACATACCAAAAATAAAAAAAAATAAAGAACACTTAAAAATATATAGAAATAAAAAATATGAAGCCTTTAAAATTTGCTGCATACATATATACATACATACATACATATGCGCACATGTCAGTAATCATTTGTAAGTTGTCTTGTAAGCTCAAACGAGCTTTTCTATTTGTTGAGGCGGGAATTAAATCACTTTACTTTCAGTTGGTTTAAGTATAACTCACTCCACAATCTGTAGAGCGTTTATTTATATAAATTTGTAATGTGACAATTTACATGCATGCATATGTGTACATAAGTATGTTTACATTAGAAGATTACCCACGAATAGATAATCTTATCTTATGTTTTAATTTTTATTGCTTTACATATTCATGATAAGAACATCAGTATACATAGATGCTTATGTTGTTGTAAAGGCATCAAGTATCAATACTCATATCATGAGTATGTGTATATGGACATCTGTTTGTACTTTAATTTTTATTGCCTGGCCTATAAATGTCATACAGCATATGAATTTATGGCCATACATTTTAATTGCTGGCTTATCGTTTCGGAAAACTAAACACTATTTGTATAAAAAATTAAAATAAAATAAAAAAATAAAAACACGTAAAACACTACTCAATGCAATGATACTCTTAAAGATCGATGCTCTGCTCTTTGTTTCACAAAAAAAAAAAAAAAAAAAATTATTTAAAGTGTTTGTCGCGCCGTTTGTAGCATTTGATGAGAAAGCACTTGATACAATTTGATTTGTTATTTATTGTTATTGTTATTTTTATTTTGCAGCAGCACTTCACAAATTATTATTTACGAACAGACATACATATATATTCATACATAAATATTAATAGTTATGTAATTCATACAAATATGCATATATTGCTAAATTATATTGTAATAATGAACAAGTGATCGTGTTTTTGCACGACGCATTGTCAGATGACTCTTGAGTCAGTAACCAAATGAGTGCTCTGTAGTGCAAATTTGAGGTTATGTCTCAATTGAAAAGTATATATAATCTACATATATATAAAGGGTGCTCCATCTTTTATGTCGGTATGTAAATACTGAAAAGCTTTCACATTTACCAACCGAGCGATCCCAGATCAGATATGTTTCGGAACCGTCAATTCAGTACAATTTTCGCCATGGATCGCTTTACACCGAAACAATGCGCTGAAATAGTGATACTTCACATCGAAAACAGTCGTTCCATTGTGTTAATTCAACGTGTATATCGGAAAAAAAAATATCACCTCACCTGATCACCTGATCACCTGATTTAACACCCCCGGACTATTTTTTGTTGGGTTATCTGAAAAGCAAGATATACGCCAACCAGCCTCAAACTATTAATGAGCTCAAGGCAAACATACGTGTTGCTTACATACCGGCATAAAAGATGGAGCACCCTGTATATATCAAGGCATAAATATACAAGTCTTGAACTACTGAACCCAAATCTTAAACTACTGATCGTAGAGATCTGAAACTTGGAAAGTGTATTCTGCGTATGATAGGAAAGGACTTTCCAAGAAATGTATCTGTGACCGATATATTCGAAGGTATCCAATAGACTTTTAAATCCTTTGAAATTTAATACCCGAATTGATTTCTTCCGAAAAGTGTACCTGGGACTGATCTATTCGTAACAAAATGTCATTGGTCACAGTTGCGATGTCAATACCTTGGCAGAAGTGATCAAAGACTCTCTAACAAATGAACAAAGGCTATCCGTTTTAAAAAACTTTCTGGTATCGAAGTAGATTTTGGACATATTGGTATGCACCTGGTGAAGTCATTTCCCAGAGAACGAATGGAAGCGCTTATAGCAAAGATTTACCCAAGCAAAAATAATATCCATCATAAGCCCTCAAAAGGGTTATGCGAGGTTGCCATCTTAACACCAAAGGGTTCGAATATCTGTGCGAATCCATCAGCTTTGTAATAAACACCGCGGCCTCACGATCTTACAACTCACATGTTCAATATAATAGTTGCGGCGTCAATTATGAAATGGTACCAGATTACAGGTTAAATGGCAACTATACTAGTTGATTTGTGTTCAAGGACGAGAACCTGGGATTCCATAAAAATATACTACTTATAGGTCATTTTGACTCCTGCAAAGAAGATTCTACGGAGCAAGAGTCAAGAAATTCTGCGCCCATGACGAAACGTCCCCAAATAAGTTTAGGCTGTAAGATTTCGTCGGAGCCCGGGGTTGTCCGTAGTGCTGTGCTGGATTCGCATTGAAAACCTTGCCATCAATTGGATCTTGTTGTTATAGACGGACGACGTGTCTTAAGTGCTCTGGAGGGGTGTCGGCTTCGAGAAGCTATAGCATTGACTCCGACTATTATCTTGTCGCAGCGAAAATACGCAGCCGCTCCAGCCGTATTTAACAAAAAACAATCGTTAAAAAACTCGGAATTTCAAGTTATGAGCGGACTATGGCATGCTCGACGATTGGGACCTAAGTGTGCTTTGTCGAATCCATAGGGGGCCCCACGGTCCGCATCAATTATCGTAGGATAAGCCTACGCAGTACCGCATATAAGATCTAATCGAGCATACCGTGTACTAAAACCCTCCGTCAACAAGCTGAACACAAGGACAACTTTTCTGGTGCTAGAATTGGGACTTCAACGAGCATTCGAACTTACCGATGTTCAATTCGGGAAGACTCTTTGTCTTATGACTTCTTTATCTCAGTTGGCAGCTTTTGAGAGAAGTCTTCCCCTTCCTCTGCTTCCACCGGTGGGTACTACATCGAAAACTTTCAAAGCTAGAGTCATCGCATCAGTCCGGGTCACAGGACCTAGCCAGCGTGGCCGCTGCTTTTTAATTCGCTGAACTACATCAATATCGCCGTATAACTCGTGCAGCTCATCGTTCCACCGTCTGCGATGTTCGCCGTTCCCAACGCGCAAAGGACCATAAATCTTACGCAAAACCATTCTTTCGAAAACTCCTAACGCCGACTCATCAGATGTTGTCATCGTCTATGCTTCCGCACCATATAGCAGGACGGGTATGATGAGTGACTTGTAGAGTTTGATTTTCGTTCGTCGGAAGAGGACTTAACTTTTGCATACCCAGTTCAGTAGTAGCAGTGATTCAGCGCTGGCTTTCAAGGCTGACGATATTATTGGTGTTGATGCTGGTTCCTAGATTGACGAAATTATCTACGACCTCGAAGTTATGACTGTCAACAGTGACGCGGGAGCCGAGTCGCGATTGTGATGGAGAAAGCAGAACTCCGGCGCGGTAGTTGAGGCCGATAATGTCAATATCATCGGCCTACTCCAGCAGCTGTACACTCTTCTAGGAGATTGTACCTTCAATACTCAGCTCTGCAGCTTGTATTATTTTTTTCAGCATCTAAATAAAAAAGTCACACTATAAGAAATCACCCTGTCTGAAACCTCGTTTGGTATCAAACGGATCGTAGAGCCTAACGGAGCTTTTAGTGTTGCTTGACGTAAGCGTACACAGCCGTGTAAGTTTTGCGAGGATGCCAAAGTCAGGCCTAGCGGCGTAGAGGCAGCTCCTGTTCGTGTTGTCGAAGGCGACTTTAAAATCGACGTGTGTGTGTCGATCCTCTTTTCACGGGTCTTTTCTAAAATTTGTCGCTTGGTGAAAAACTGATGCGCTCAAAGGGACCTTATATGCAATATTGAAGAGGCTTATCTTACGGTAATCTGCGTAGACTGTGGGTTCGATCTTTTTGTGTATTGGGCAGAGCACCCTTAAATTCAAATCATCGGTCATGCTTTCGTCGCACCATATTCTGCAAAGTAGCTGATGCATGCACCTTGTTGGGTCTTCAACGCCATGTTTGAATTGTCCTGCCGTAAGGCCATCAGCTCCTGCCGCTTCGTTGTTTTTTAGACGGGTAATTGCTATTCGAACTTCTTCATGGTAAGGTAATGGCACGTCTTTGCCATCGTCATCGATTGGGGTTTCGGGCTCATTATCTCCGGATACTCCCATTTTAACTGCTACTCAGCAGGCTGGAGAAGGGTTCCCTCCATAAATGCAATATACTCTGGGCATCAGTGGCTAGATCACCTCTTTGTGTCCTACAAGCGTCTGCTCCGATCTTGAAACCTTCCGTAAGTCGTCGTTTCGTCTCATCGAATTCTCGAGCATTACCCTTGTCGGCCAGCTCATCAAGCTCTTCATACTCACGCACGCTGACTATAATCGCGTAAGCGGTGCATATGCTAATTAAGAAGAAGAGATTGTTCGGGTAGAAATACTATAGTTTATTTATATTGAGGAATTAAACCTTAAATGAGCAAATAAAAGTTGGAAAAGTTATTTACTTTTAAGACAGTTGTTGGTTTTAATGGAATTAAAGAAAATTAAAATATATTAAATTTTTTCTATTAATTTTAGACGTAACCTTGTATATAAGTTAAAACGTATTTTTATCAATAACATAAAGTTCATTTTTTTTCTCTTCAATATAGACGCATATATTATACATATTTACATACATATGTATTATATATGCACTATAAATATTAACATTATTATATATTCATATATTCGAATTTTTTAATGTAAAAATATTTATTTATGCAGATATTAAACTATTAAACAATATTCGTTTTGGTTGGCGCCAGCCTAAATATTTATTTATTTATGTACATAAATACTTGCATACATACATGCATATGTACATTAATATATATGTATGAAGTTTTTGAGTTTTCAAGTTGTTTTCTTTAATACCTGCTTAATCCGCTTAGTCAAGTATCGTTTCCTACCTTTTTATTTATTTTTTTACATTTACGACGTTTTGTATCTTAAAATTATTTGCGTCGCATTATTTACTGTTACTCTCTCTTATAACAACAGCACTCAAGTGTTATTTTGCTAAATATTCTTTACTTTAATTGTTGTTTCCTTTGCTTCTTTTTGTTTTCAGCTGTGCTCGTAATGGCTACGGACGCTGCTGTTGGTAGCGGTAATGTTTCGAAAGTCGAGGAGAAAGTGATGAATGTGAATGGTGAGTTTTGAGTAATTTAGAATTTTATGAATCCTTTTTTTTTTTTTTGAATTATACAAATGTTTTTGTTGTTAAGTTTTAAATGAAGTTCGGTATTTGACTACTTAACTATAATATTAAAAGACCAATAAAGGGTTAACCCTTATTAGTGGTTTCAAAAGTACAGAGTTGTATTTTGACATCTGTCAAGCTTAACCGTCAAATTTTGTTTCAGTTAAAAGTTCGGCATTTATGAAAATGGATCGCTTAACATCCGATTAAAATTCTTAAAACTTACTACAAAAATGGTGATTTATATTTAGTCACGTTTCCTGTTTTAAGAGGAGATTATGAAGCACTTAATCATCCAACTACTCAAGCAATTAATAATATTGGTAATGAAATTTTTAGAGACTGGTTCGATTACAGTTATTGTAAAATCTGTGCATCATCGTTTTGCTCGTTCCATCTCAGATAGCGCTGCTACAAGTGAAACTGTAGGCGAAAACCCGTATGTGTCTATTTCTCAACGTTCTCAAGAGCTGGGACTTTCTGACCTCATATTATGGCATATTTTGCGCTTAGACTTACAGCTACATCAATGTCAAGTCCAGCTCATACAACAACTGAAACCAGCTTATCATGCACATGCTCGGATGGGTGGTTTTAAAGCACCCACCTTATAGACCGGACCTGGCACCAAGTGATTACCATCTTTTCCTGTCCTCGACGAACGCGCTTTATGGTGAGAAGTTGGCCTCAATACAGGCCTGTGAAAATTGGCTCTCCGAGTTTTTTTGCCAATAGGAACGCAGCCTTTTACGAGAGGTGTGTAATGAAGTCGGCATCTCGTTGGCAACAGGTGCACGAACAAAACGGCGCATATTTAACTTAAATCGGGCATATGTACTCAAAGTTATCATATCTTGAAATCATATCATATAAAAAAAAAATTTTGAATCAACAAAAAACCGAATGAACTTATTATTTGGCCTAATATATTTATATATTTTCGGCCAAGCTCCTCGAGATCGCGCGATTGCCACCTTTCGATTTTTTTTTTTGTGGGTTTATTCAAAAGATCATTCTAAACCTTAGCTATTGAGCACTTGAAAACCAGAAAAATTTGTCCAGTTATGGCTGAGATATCGCTCAATATACTCGTATGCCAAAAAGTGGTCGAAAATTACCTCAAACAGAAAGGAGTTGGCAAAGATTCGAGAGTTGGCCATTTGAATGATGTTGGGTTTCACATAATCTTTCCAAGATCTAAGCTTTAGAATTAGTTAACATTTTTTAATTTCGGGAATATCAAGCCCTCCGAGTGTATTTCTCATAAGAAACCAACAGCCGTTCGAAGACGTTTTGGTCTAAATTGTAGGTCCCTCCATTTGTTGGATAAACATCAAGACGCAAAACCATAAATTGGTGGAGGAGTATGACCAAAAATCGCTTTAGAAGTTACAAAACGCCAAATATATATGTATGTATAAGCTTTGCAAGAAATTCATGAAAAAATTATTTTAATATTAATTTATATTTCGAAAACGCTAAGTGTGATATCTAGTATATAAGTATTATTCAAGTGACCAAATTGCGTCATAAAATAAATACTATTTTTGTTTTTGTTAATTTTTCATAATACCACATATTTCTCTTACGAATCCCTCGTTAATACCATTTTTCTTTGAAGTTAATTTTTTTCTTCACATTTTCTTGTTAACATCACCGTCAAAAATATCCACTTGTATTTTGTATTTTATCATTTGCTATAGAAGTGTTATCATTTTCTAAATAATAACTGTATATATGTATACACATATATTGTATTATGATGATTTCATGCCATTTGTGCTGTTTAAATTTCTTTTGATCCCCTTAAAATACTCCGCATTGGATTTTATCTTGAGTTCTACCTCTTAGTGTGGACTTATTTGACATAATTACGATTGATTATATTTTTTATTGATAAACAATAATAATATTTTTATATTTAGCAAATGTTGATAAATTTCTAAAGTACATGAGTTCGATTAAATCATTTTTTTTTTTATAAAAAAAAAATTATCATATATTTTATGTCCTCTATAAATAAAGTTTATGAAGGTAAGAAATTTTTCTTCAACTAGGTACTTGAAAACTCTGGCTGAGTGTTTTGCAAATCTCATTTTTCTTCTTCACCTTGATTGTCCCAGGTTGAACCCAGGTTCTTCTTTTTCACATGACTATGCCAGAGGAGATCTGCCTCTGTCTTTTCTTTCACCTGCGGGTACTGAAACAGAATGATTTCAAAGCGGGAGCATTTTCGTCTATACAAACGAGAACAGTTTACTTTTTGGGGGGTTGTATTGGGGTTGTTGCCGGTTACCGGAATGCATACCATTTCAATGTTCTTAGATCAAGTTGGTATAGAACGACTGGCTGTAAATTCTTTCCCAATTCTGACAAAGTATTGAAAAATCGTGTTAAGTTCACGGGACGGGCATACCAGCATTGCACAGCAGCCGTTTTGTGTTGAAGGCTGCTGTAAAATCGATAAATTTCTCAGAACTTCTAGCAAGATGTGACGTAAGTTAAATATCCTGTTCTTTGCTCTGCCAGAAGCAGTGCATTTGGGCTGAGCTTTGCAGCACCATATATGCGACCAAGCTTATCCCCCGATAATTGGATAACTGACGCAGACTGTGGGTTCTCCTTTTTGAGGATAGGACAGAGGGCACTTAGGTTTCAATCGTCATTCAAGCTTTCATCCGGCCATGTTTTGCAAAGAAGTCGCTTCAGTTTCTCTTCGCCATATTTGAATAGCTCAGCTGGTAATCCATGCACTTATGCCGAGTTATTATTGTTGATTTCTCCTTTCATTATTAATTGAAAATTCATGTTCGCCATCTTCAGATGGTTTATTTCTAGTGCAGCTAAGTTGGCTGAAGAAGTGTAGCCTACATAAGCGCAGTATGCTCCGAAAATCTTCGAAATCTCATGAGATCGCTTGGTTAGACAGATTGGTCCTATTCTGCCTGACCTAAAGCTAAATAAAAAATAATAAAAAGAATTCTAAACAAAAAATAGAAATTAATAAAAATTATTTTGAAGAAATTAAAAAATAAAAGAAAGTAAAGAATTAAAAGAAATTGGGAAGCGATAAAGAAATGAAAATAAAATTAATAAACTTAACCTGTAAAATATGTAAAGAATAATAAACTAAAAATTTTAAAATAATGTAGAAGAAAAAAATAAAAAATATTTAAAAAGGAAAGTCAAGAAAAAATTGCCATCGCAATCAAAGGTCACGCCTTCAAATCATTAAGATAAATATCAAAATAAAATAAATTTAAAAAAAATCAAAAAATTGGAAATTGGAAATAGTTAAATCTATGCAATCAATTAAAGAAAATTAAAATTAGAATTTAGAGAAAAATAAAAATTAGAAGACATTTGAAAAATAAATAAAATTAAGATTAAAAAATTGAAAACTAAAGAAATCAATAAATATAACATGATAACAAATAAAATATAGTAATCAGAAAATTATTTAAAGAAAAGAAATTGAAAATTGAAAAATATGTAATACAAATTTGAAATATTAATAAAAAAAAAGAAAAAAAAACATATAAAAATTAAAAGAGAAATTCAAAAAAATTACAGTTTAAAAAAGTAATGTAAATTGTAAAAATTATTTAAAACTAAATAAAATGCAATAAAAATATAATAAAGTTAAAAAAAAAATATTAACAAAAAATCGCAATCGCTGGTGCAAGCAAACAATCAAAGGTCACACCTTCAACGCCATTTAGCTTAATAGGAGCACTAATGATTACCATATCAAGTATTTTTTAAATATATTTGTATGTATGTACACTGTACGCCGCCTTAAATAAAATTGAAAAATACTAAATAATAGAACACACCCGCTTTTCGGAGTCAACAAAGCGTGAAATTGTTTATATGTACATATGCGAAGGAAATAAATATAATACATATGCATGTACATATAAATACATTTATGCACATATGTACATACATACTATTTTTGAATGCTCCAATCAAGGTTTTTGTGATTTTTTTGAAATTTTTTTTTCATCGCAATCTGTTTTTGTTAAAAAAATTCTTGGGAAAAAAATTATTAGAGTGTCTGAGAAGTGCTTAGATATTGATATCCATGATGGAGAAGAGATATAAAAGTGCATACATATGTATATGTAGTGTATGTGTGTATGTGGTCTAAATTTTTTTTACACCGTAGTTGTGTTTGTCCGTATGTTCTAGGCTTGTATAATTTCTTTGTATGCATTCTTCAACCGAACGGGTATCCCGCCAAGTCAAACAGCCACGCCAGACATTCTGTCGGTTCCCATTAGATACAATTGCTATAAATTCAGTAGAATACAGATGTACATATGTAGAGTATATAAAAAAAAACTGATACACAGACATAAATACATATGTATGTATAACACAATGAGCGCAGTATTTTTGGAATAAAATTGAAGTCTTGAAAAAATAACACGAAAATTACGTTTGAGTTGCCATAAACCAAGCAAACCAAAATAACAACAACAAGTAACAAAACAAAAATACATCAAATTGAAAGGCAAATAAAATTTGTATAACAATGAAAAGAAGAAAAAGAAGAAGAAGAACATTTTATTTGTTTAAAATATCATTGGGAGTTGTAGAATTTCGAAAAATCCCAAATGGAAAATTGGAAAAAAAATTTAAATAACAAAAATTTAATAAAAAAAAATATGTATATATCTATAAAAAAATTAAAAATTGAAAAAAAAAAATAAAAATTAAAAAAAGTTAAAAATTTTTAAATTTGGAAAAAAATAAAAGAAAGTTAAAAAATTAAAAATTGAAAAAGAAATAAAAATTAAAAAAGTTGAAAATTAAAAAAATTAAAAATTGAAAAAGAAATAAAAAGAGTTAAATAAAGTTAAAAAAACTAAATAAATGTAAAATTTCAAAAAAAAAAAAATTAAAAACGCGAAAACACAAAACCAATGAAAAACTGGAAGATT